TCAGCAGTTTACACGGAGAGCCATTTCCAAGCAGACAGCCCGTTTCTACTTCAGTTCTTCCTCCACACCTGGTTGTTCTGGGGAGACAGATGGTCCATTCTAGAGGAGGGAATATGAGTTATGCAGAGTAGCAGCTCCTACCAGCAAGGACAGAGTGTGAGACACACTGCTGAGATGTCAGCTTGGCTGGAGCACAGGATGGAGGGACTCAGGGTCTTCTGGCTGCAACTTCAGGTCACAGAGGAGAGACTAACCAGCTGTGGCCACTGCACATCTGGCCTGAACAGCTACAACATCCTGCCCGCCCAAATCCAGGCCTCTCCATTCCTTCAGGCCTAGGATCAATGGAAATCTTCCAAGTCAGCAAATCAGGCTTCCAACAGAGGCAAAACCAACTGAACATAGGAAATCTCAGGGTTGCCCAAGCAATAGATGCCCCAACCCCTCTTTCCTGATGGTGGAGTAGAAATGACAATGGATGGGAGGTCAGGCATCTTGGACTTGAACTTGCTCTGCTGGGCCATTGACTAGTTGTGTGGTCTTGAGTGAGTCATTCTCTCTGGGGCTTCCTTTCATCATCTCCCCTTGGGCAGCTTCATAACCGCTCTTTCCAACTGAGAGACTCTGGCTGGATCAGCAAACAAACACACTTTGAGAAGACAGAAAGGATTGTTGGCAAATGCCCACCAGCAAGTTCAGCCTCATGTTGAGGAAGCACGGGCCATGCCAGGGCCATTTAAAAGGGAGTCACTGGATGAAGGACTGGGCTAACAGGATGAGCACAGACCAAGGAGGACCATTTCTGGGAGACCAGAGCACAGCTACCCTTCTGAAGATAACCAGATCAGTGTGGAATAAGAGCTGGGAGCCCGCAGCCATCAGAGCAGGGGATGAGAAAGAAGGAGCTTATTGTTTGTTTTTGTTTTAATCACAGGATTAGCTAAGGGGGTAAAGGCATGCACATTTCACTTTTTTTTTTTTTTTAAAAAAATAGAGAGAGAGTTGAGAACCACAAGCCCAAGGGAGTGTGCTTCACTCGTACATGTACATTGTCCATGGATACCTGTAGACCTGACCTCGGGGTACCAGGCCACGCTCTGTGGTTCTCCACTCTGCATTTGCTCGTTTTCACCCTCTCTGCTCCCTACCTTGGGGCCTGCATCATCTCATGCCTAGCGTGTAATGACAACCTCCAAGGCGGCTGGCTTACCTCTTCTGCCTCCAACCCATTCTACACAAAGGTCATTCTAAACACAGATTTCAGCACTTGGGTCACTCATCTGCCTGATAACCTTTTCCTGCTTCCATAGCCTATCTCATCAAGAGTCATGCTCCCATCTGATAGTCTTAGAAAACCTCTCCATTAAGTGGTGAAATGAAAAGTCTGTGATCGAAACTGATCTTACAACTACTTCCTCATGGGGAGAACTTGGCCAAGCCTCTTTACTCTCTGAGCCCAGTTCCTTATCGCTGAAAATGACATAAAGAGCTCACAGCTGGTGACCTCATAGGCACACAGTGAGGATCAATGATACAATGGATGCAAAGCGCTTTACAAACTCTAAAGTGCAGTACCAACATTCCCATCCATTCAAGTCTCTGCAAGATGGCTTTCTTGTGGTTCTCACATTGTTTCCCTCCGTAGAGATTCTCCCTCCTTTCACTCATCAGGAAAATCCTGCCCTTGTGAGCTCACCCACTTCCACACCTTGATGCCTTCCTTCACCGACCATATCCTTTAGGACTGAGCCTGCCACCCTGACCTGCCTCAGTTCTTCCATGTGTAGATAGGAGTTAGTGAGCCCCACTATGTCTCTGGGGCTTACCCATAATCTCATTTACTTCTCACAATAAATTAATATACAAAAACCAGCTGAACTTCCATATACTCGCAACAAATAAATCAAAAAAGACATTGAAAAACATATAATTTACAAATGTGTATGCTTGGGAATGAATACAACCGAAGTGGGGTGGGACCTCTACCCTGAAAACTCTAACGTATTATTGTGATAAATTAAGTAAAATCTATATTAATGCAGAGATCTGCCAGGTTCACGGTTCACAGACTTGATAATCTAAAGATTTACATTTTATACACATTGACCTAGTGACAATACAATCACAATCAACATCCTAGCAGCTTAGACATTAAAGTGCAAAGGGGCAAGAATAACCAAGACCATCTGGTAAAGAACTAAGCTGGAGGGTGTATGTCAACAGACAGCAAGACTTAATGGTAACTAAAACAATGTGGTATTGATACAGGTAAATAAATTGACCAATGGAACCAAATAGAATTCAGAAACAAACCCAAATACATCAGATCACTTGATTTATGAAAAAAGAGACATGGCGGGGCAGTGAGAAAAAAAAAATGCTGCTGGGTCAACTAGTGTCCATTTAGGAAAAAGTAAATATTGATTCCTACTTCCTACCACACATGAACATTTCCAGATGAGTGTAGATATAAATGCAAAAGGTAACGCCCTAAAGCTTCTAGAAGAAAACCAAGGATAATATCTTCTTGACCTTTGGATAGGCAAAAATTTCTTGGCCAGGTCATTAAAAAAGCATTATTCTAGAGGAAAAATAGTAATAAATTAAGAATTTCTCTTCATCAAAGGTCTCCACTTGGAATGAAAAGGCATGCCATAGAATAGGATATATCTACAATACACACACTTGACAAAGAACTCATTATCAGAATATAGAAAACAATTCTCGTACATCTCTAATAGAAAAACAGAAACCAAATTTAAAATGAGCAAAAGATTTGAACAGGCACTTCATAAAATAGGACATGCTAATCGACAAAAATATATAAAAAGGTACTGTGAGTACTGATTAGGAAAATGTAAATTGAAATCATAATTAAATACCTACCACTAGGCCACCATTCAATGGCAAAATGAAACAGTCTCATAATACCAAGTGCTGGTGAGGATGTGAAGCAGGTGAAACTCTCATACACTACTGGAGGGAGTGCAGACATGCTCAGCTACGCTATGAAAATGTTTGGCTGTGTCTATCCAAGTTGAATATAAGTCCAGCAATTCCACACGTAGATGTACACCTGGCAGAAATGGCCACATGTGTTCAATTAAAGACCTAACAGTTTTGTGAGTAAGAGTCCCAAACTCAGAATGGCTGGAGAACTAAATGCCTATGCACCATAGAATGAAAGGGCTGGGATTCATGTGTAGAGTGAATCCCAGGGCACAAATGACAGCATTGCTGCTACAATCACAACATGGACCAGTTTCACAAACGACATGTTCTGTGCAATTCCATTCAGTAAGTTTAAAAAGAGGGAAAAATTATGGTGTCAGGATGGGGAGTAGTAGGGATTAGCAGAGGAAGACAAGGAGTTTCTGAGGGTACTTTTAATGTTCTATCTCTTGACTAGGCTTCTATTTATATGAAAAATTTGCAAACTTGTCTAGTTGTTCACCTATGGTTGGCTCATGCCTGTAATCCCAGCACTTTGGGAGGCTGAGGCGGGTGGATCACCTGAAATCAGGAGTTCGAGATCGGCCTGATCAACATGGTTGGTGCAACCCCAACTCTACTAAAAATACAAAATTAGCGGAGCATGGTGGCACATGCCTGTAATCCTAGCTACTTGGGAGGCTGAGGCAGGAGAATTGCCTGAGCCTGGGAGGTGGAGGTTGCAGTGAGCTAATGGCGCCACTGCACTCCAGCCAAAAAAAAAAAATGCCGCCTGGCTTCTTCCCCTCCCCTAGGCCAGCCTACCTGCAGATGGGCCATCCCCAAGCAGAGGGTGGGGTCCTCTACTCCTTTGTTGGGGGTTGTGAATCCCAACTGTGGATCTGCCCAGCCCCCACCTCCTGCCTCTCTGCCCCACGTGCAATCCTGACGCCTGCTCCGTCTCAGCCTTACAAGCTCCTTCTCCTTCTGAAAGAGGAGTGAAGCTTTCCTGGTGTTGTCAGCTCAGCCGAGCAGAGCTTGTCTTCCCACTGTCTCCCTCCCTCCCCCACACAGCTGGGAGATTCTGAAATCACCGCCTCGCTGCAGAATCAAGACCTGGATGTTGTCAGGAGCCTCTGCAAAGGCTGACTGCCAGCGTCCCACGTCTCAGGCAGGGGGTGGCCACTGCTCGGGAGAGGCTGCCTGGAGACAGCCTCCCTCCCCCGCCATCACCTCTGGCCAGAGGCGATGCCCAAGTGGAAACAGCAGTGCCCAGTCCAGTGGGGGAGGACACAGCTTCCTCTTGGGCTTCCATTCACTGTGTGTGTCCTGTGCGCTAGGTACAGGACTACGTACGACACACACATGATCTGGTGCATGCCTCACCCCAACACTGAGAGGGGGGGCACTGTTACTACCCTATCTGATGGATGCAGAAAAACGATGCCTCAGGATTTATATCTGGCCAGTGGCAGTACCCGGCTTCAAACCTAGGTTGCAGTCAACAGCAGTCCAGCAATACACACAGAGGCATCGAGCACATGGCTCTCCCACCACTGGGGCCCCTGGCACCCCTCTCCCCACAGCTTCCCTGCTCCTCTAGAATTCATCCCAACTCTGTCCCCAGCCCTCCCCTCCTCTGCCTCCCCTGTGTCTTCCAACCCTTCCCTCTGGGTTCAGGCAATCCCTTCATTTAATCCTCTTCCCCCAAGTCTTGGGCCAATACTTCCATTTCCTTGTCTGTAAACTGGAGCTACAGGTAGCATCCACCTCATTGGGTTTTGGTAAGTAATGAGTAAAATCTTATTTGTAAAAGAAGATATAATTAAGAGCTTAAAAATAGCAGCTGGTTTTTTTTTTTTTTTTTTTAGACATATGGGACTTGGTGACTTAAGACACAGCGGGATTGCTGGGACTCAAACTCTTTTTACATTTGTCTCCAACTTCGCAGGGCCCTGGGCTCTATTTCTTCTGGCTCATTATCTAAAGAACTCACAACAATGCCATTTGGGGGCTTTAGAGATTAGATTTAGAAAAACAGATTCGTAATCATGTATCGATTGTTTGCGGGAATTGCTCTTAAAGTGCTTGGAAGTCACCGATCTAACCAACAGATGAAACATTTCCTGAGGACAGGCCCTCCCCTCTGGAGGCATCCTTCTATCATTGGGTATGGAAACAGATTTGCCTGCAAAGGCTGAGCCCTCCCTGATCCTTAGGAGAAGTGGGCCAGGCTCCTGCTACCTCCTCCTGAGGAGTTCTGTCCTGCCCCCTCAGAAGCTCGGGTCTGGGCAAGACCCCGAGACCAGCACTGCAATTAAACCACATCCACAGTTGGCAGCTGCCAGTAGATCCCCACCCACCTCCTGGTCCCTCAGCTGCCCCGGGGTCAGGCAATGGAGCACAGTTCTCAGCTGCTGGCAGGAAAGCAGGGAGGGCTCTGGGTTTGCGTTGCCACTTCCTCTTGTCTTCTGTCCTGGGACCTCCCTAAGACCCTCCCGGGTGGAGGCTTATTAAGCAGGGACCCTATCGCAGCACCATGATTTCAACTCTTGGCAGGCTTCCCTGAAAGCATTTTATGCCAGTGCGAGTGAGGCCTAATTCCAGGCTGCCTGAGTTTAACAAGTTCCCCATCTCTCATCAGCTGCCGACTCCCCAAAGCAAGGTCAAGTGGGAGTTTAATAGCTGTTCCTGGGACTGTGCAGAGGGCAGCCCTTTGAACTTGGTGTCTCAATCCCACAGGTGGGAGGTTCCCACCACGGCGTAATTTCGAGGGGGAGGGCCGAGACTGCCTGAGGGGAAGTCCCACGGCTCCCCCGGTTCCAGGCAGCTCTTTGATATCTCCTGGAGCACTCCTGGTCCTAGAACCAGACAGCTCGCAACTGAACTGGCACAAGTAACAAACGCAGCATCCCCTCTCCTAGGCATTCCTACAAGCCATGCGAGCCCCGTGTTGGTGGAGACGCTGCCTTCTCCCCGGCAGATACCAACATGTTAGAATGGAGAAACCGTCTATGGCCCTACCACGCTGAACACGCCGGATGTCATCTCATCTCGGAAACTAAGCAGGGTCGGGCCTGCTTAGGACTTGGATGGGGGGATGGATAAATCGCTGGACTTTTGACGATGCAGGTTTTAACATCAGATCGGAGCCCTAATAGCTGTGTGTCTCAACTGTCTGGGCCACGGCATTAACAGGGAAAAGTTTCCTCCACTTAAAGAAAGAAAAAGACAAAGAGGAGAAGGCAGGCAAGGCGGAGCTCTCCTGGAAGGTACATTAAATCATTAAATGCCAGCACGCCTGCTTCACGTAGGAGGACTCGTATATGTATTCCTGGTAGGGAATGTATGTCCAAAACACCAGCATCTTCTTCTCAGCCCACCCAGGCTGCCCCCATCTAGTTTGATACCATTTAGGCAGAATAACTATTTCTCCAATTTTCCAGTGCAGAATTAGACTATTTAACTTGACTTCTGCGTTCTCCTATGTGAGACTCCTGACGGATCGATGTCCTCTCCCACGTGTACAACCCCCATAAACTGAACTAAGAGAGAAGTTTCATTTTATTTGTTTTTCTTTCTCTCCCTTTCCTGACCTTACGTGCTACATAATCCAGAAAATGATCCAGATGGGAAAGACATTGGCTTTGAAGCAGGAGGAAGGAGGAAAGAGGAAGGAATAAAGGAAAGGAGAATAACCCTACTTCTGTCCAGCCGCTGACCGTGGGGAGAAATCTCCCTCCCCTAAAGTCCGTCCCATGCACGGGTTCGAGGTGGTATTGTGGGGTCCTTCCCAAGGGAGGACAGAAGCCCAGCTGACTTGGATGGCCTCCCAGCCTTCTCCCCTCACCTCCCCTGCTCCTGCAGCACATCTGGCGTAAGTCAATCTGAGCACGACACCCACTTTCAGCGCTGAGTCCTGACCTCAGGACACTGAATGGTGTCACAGCCACCTGTTCTACATAACTTCATAGGCTTTCAATCTATTTTAACGTAGTCAGATTGACCACATAGATGGAGCTCCAGAGTTATCAAGGTACAAATGACTCCTTCCCATAATGCTTCCCGTTAAACCATCTCCCTTTGCCAGAGTAAGCAGATAACAGGATAAAGAGGTAGCTCCACAGGCAGCACCACCTGACTCTAAAGTTGTCCCTCCCTGACCCCCTGGACACCTGCCTCTACCAAGCACTCATAAACCTCCTGCACAGGCAACTCAGTCGCATGCATGGTTTCCTCCCTTCGGAACTGAGGGGAAGAGGGTGAGACTAATATTAACTGAGCTTCTACTATGCTTCATGTGCTTTCACTTCTACTGGCCACGTAATTTTCATAAAAATTCTACATGAGACACAACACATTTTACAAATGAGAAAATTGAGGCTCAGAGAGGCCAAGTGACTTGCCTGATGTCACACAGCTAACAGGTAGCAGAGCCAGGATGTCTCTCGCCACTGTTCCATCTGCCATTGAGCACCCTTTCCGCAGAAAGTAAAGATTGCCTTGCTGAGAGATCGTCTGTCTCCGTGCTGACTTTTCTTTGCAGCACCAATTATCTATTTCTAACACATTTTACACATGAGAAAATTGAGGCTCAGAGAGGCCAGGTGACTTGTCTGATGTCACACAGCTAACAGGTAGCTGAGCCAGGATATGAACACTGATCTATCTGATTCCCAAAATCATGTTTTTTTCCACCGTCCACTCCCAAACTGGGCCTCAGGATGAGCTCACAGGAAAAACCTCATGCCTTGTCTTTAGAACTTACCTGCTCTCTCCACCTGCTTCTGAGACTGCCAGCCAGGTGAGGGTGAGCTCCTCTGGGAGACCAGGGGAGGCTGACATGGGTGGAGGTGTTTCCTGAGGAAGGCTCTGCCTCCAGGGGTCCCCTCTCTGGAAACCTCATGGGACACTGCTACAGCTTTGTCCCCTCCCTTGGCTCGCCGGGTTTTTAGAAGGCAAGATGAAAACGCCTGAGCGGGTACCAGGCTGAGGAATCTTCCAGAGGAAGGTGGGAGATGCTGTTCTGAGAGTCTCATGGCAGTAGGCAGAGGGACCCCTGGCATCCAGTGTGTCTGAGATTGAGGGATGTGCCACCTCTTCTGCCCTGTCACTGACATCCCAACTGGCATTAGGACACACATCTGCCTCCTGTCTGGAAATCTCTCCCTACGTGGTGTCGCTCTATGGGTGGCTAGCCCTGCTGACTGGCACCCAGCAACCCTTCTGTTTTGTTTGGGTTTGGCTTAAGCTGTGCACATATGAGAGAGGCAGAGAACTTGCTTTTCAGTTTTGAAAGTACCGACTGTTAGCAACTGCGACCAGCACAGCCTTTGCTGTCACAGAACCCTTAGGACAGAAAAGGCAGAGGAACAGACGGAAATAAGATGCCTCCAGCACTCAGCGAAACAAGACAGAAGAGTGGCGAGAAAAATACAGAGCGCTGTATCAGCTGTCACGAAAGTCCAGGGGCTCCTTTGACTGGGGTAGGGAAAAAAATCTACCAAGATTGAAAGCCTCTTTCTATTGCTGTGTTTTCGTATGGCCCCTGGGCAAATCTGCCTACCATTGAGGTCTGAGGGTCTGATGAATTCTGCTGGCTCTTCAGTCCTCATCCACCGGCCCTACAGCACGTTAGTAGAAAGAGCCCTGATGTGGACCATCGATCCTGGTTCTGTCCTGTCCCTCAGACATGGGACCCTGAGAAAGTCCCCTCCCCTCTCTGGGCGTCTATGTCTTCATCTATATAAAAAACAAAAGCCCTCTGTGATTTCGTTCAGGTCCAAAGCAAGGAGGTATTATCCATCTGTACCATTAAATAAATAATCCTGGGCCCAGCATCTTGACCTTGGATTAGGAACTTCTCTCTCTTTGAAGCCTTGGTCACCCCAAATATTCCCCGGCTACAAGAGGTCTCTGGGAACCTGTGCTATCAACTAGGAGATATGACATGAACATGGGTATTCTAATAATGGTATTTCTAGAAAGACGTCTCTCCACCCTTGAATCTGTTCTATATTCCATTGCTAGATTCACTTTCTAAAACCAGAGTCTGCTCTAGGCCGCCCCTCTGCCTCTGACTTCAGTGGTTCCCTGCTGTCTACCAAATAGCATGCACTGTCTCCAGCCGAATATGCAAGGTGGGTATGCAAGGGCCTCCTCAATCTGACTCCAGCGTGCCTTTCTAGAAACGTTTCTTTCCCGACCACCTGCTCTTCCCTATCTTGGCCACCCCTCCACTTCGTCTGCCTGGAAATCACACGCAGCCCTCGGGGGCTCTTCTCCAGCTCTGTATCTTCCATGAACACTCGGTGCTGATTCTGTTGTGTACAATGATGTTTTTCTGGATGTGCTGTCTCACCCCCAATACCGGACAAGTGACTCATTGTGGCAGGGTCTGTGGTTGCTCATCTTGCTCCTGAGGGTAGCACAGGGCTGGACATGAACTAGCCTTCTGTGACTTTAAAAGGATGGAGTTGAAACAGAAAGAGATGGGGGGCGGTGGCTCCCACCTATAATCCCAGCACTTTGGGAGGTTGAGCTAGGGAGATTTCTTGAAGCCAGGAGTTCAAAACCAGCCTGAGTGACGTAGCAAAACCTCATCTCCACAAACAAATTTTAAAATGGGCCAGGTATGGTGATGCCCACCTGTGGTCCCAGCTACCTGGGAGGCTGACGTGGGAGGACCACTTGAGTCTAGGAATTCGAGGCTGCAACAAGCATGGATTGCACCATGCACTCCAGCCTGGACAACAGAGCATGACTCTGCCTCAAAAAGCCTAAATAAATAAATAAATAAATAAATAAATAAATAAATGAAAAAAAAAAGAAAAAGAAAAAAGAAAATGGAAAGAACTGGGTTCCTGGGGTATGATATAAAAGTTCTTGGCAGTGAGTACTCGTATGTGTGTGTGTAGGGGAGACAGGGAGAGGATGTGGATAGAGTGGTTTTTAAGCATCCTTTCAACCCTGAAGAGTTGTGTTTGCATGTAGAGTATCTGAAGTTTTTTCAGCACAGGCTCTTTTGTGTCCTGACAAATCTTAGGACCCTACAGTTGGAAGCCCTGTCTGTGGCTCTAGTATAGAAGTAAGTCCAACATCAAGAAAAAGTTTCTAAGTCAACAGATGTCTGAGGTACTGGTAGAAGCCCAGAGAAGCCAAATGTCTGGTGCTTCTAGTTTGATAGATGAAGAAATCCTGTCTTGGGAATAGACACACATCCTGCCCACACCTGCCCCACCAGCCACCAGCCGGCTGCAGAGCCTTTGAGCGGGGCCAGCTGCGGGCCTGGCAAGGGGAGGAGCCGAAGGCAGCTGGGGAGTCCTTCCCAGGCCTCCTTCAGGGGCTGGCTCGCTTTACAGTGCAGGTGGAGGCTGGGGGCTCCGCCTGGCTCCTCTTGTTTTCCCCACCTGCCTGCAGTGTGGTTTGTCTGCTGGCGCCACGGAGGCGTTGGGGCTGGGGGAATTTGATAGGCAAGGAGGGGGAGGCTGTCTCCTCAAGATGTGAGTGCCGTTCAGTCCGTGCTTCCCTCCCTCCTCCCCTTGCACTGAGGAAATGCCCTTTGCGGTGGCGGGGAGCAGGGAACAGCTGAAACTGGAGTGTCTGAAGGTTGCAATAAATAAGGGAAGCTACCTTGAGTGTGCTGATTGTCCTTTTGGACCTCTGCTGCCATTGACCATGGGAGACAGAGGGAAGGGCAGACCCCACACAGGTACCTACAGACACCAGGCATGGGGGTGCCTCTCTGGAAGGTCAAGGGCAGCCTCAGGGCTCATCCCCATATCTCCCCACCTCCCTAGCTGGGGAGGCTTCTGTTCTTGGCGTTTTCCTATTATCTCCCCCAAGCAGAGTGTGGGAGGCAAGGAGCCTGGGTTAAGGGCCCCAACAGGTCCCAAGCCTGCTTAGGATGGCATGAGTTCCCTTTCTAACCTCTCCCTGGGTGCCTAAACAAATGTTATCAGTGACTCAGAGAGCCTCCTGTCAAGGTCAGTCTGCCCTGCCTGACGCTGTCACTGCTGCCTGATGTGAGAACCGATTCTGCTTCCTACCTCCTGCTAGCCCCGGCACCATGCCTGGGCACTGGGCATTAGATGAGCTATCAGTAGAGCCCGTGTGCCAGGTGGAGATCACCCCGAGCCTTCTGCACGAGGACCGCAGGTCTCTTAAGTTTCTGCTTTCCTGGCTGGTCTGTTCTGCAGTGTAACCCTTTCTCTCCTTGGAGCTTCCCACTGACATTGCAGACCAAGCCCTGTAGTTTCCCTTGCAATTCCGTCTCCTTTTGCTTGCCTGGCTTTC